GTGTAATTTTTGGCTGTTTTCACAAACTTTCCAGGGCCCTGAAATAATTTTTTCAAACTCACAAACTTTCAAGGACCCATGGGAACCCTGCTAATTCACATCGTACCTCTAAACATAACTAGAGCGCCATAGAATTGCAAAAAAGTGAGGGCCGGGAAAATGTCYTCACTTCTCAAAAATGTCCTCACTTGTTTGGTTAAAAACATGTGACGGTCCTCACGTRGCAGAAACAAGTACACACACACACTACAACTGTTACAGTAAGATGTGTTGTAAGTCTTTCTCAGAGTAAGATGTGTTTGCAAACAAAAGCAGACTGCWGTCACACAGCTGTAAAACTCAACCCTGGCACACTAAGCTAAAACAAAAACCCCAACAAAAAATTAATAATAATAAAATTAAAACTCCTTATTAAAGGCAGCAATCCACCCAGGAGTGAATATTGTCCACACATATCTATTAAAATGTAAACAACTTTACTTAAACTGTAGTTGAAGCCTTATTGACAAAAAGATTTAAGGAACTCCTCAAGGCCAAACAATAGTTTTAAGTGTCTCTCTCACTCGTAATTCTCTATTTCCGAGCTCTGACTGCTTCTATTTAAAAAAAAAAGGAATCTCTCTGTTGTGGCTCTCAGGCTTCTTCCTGCCACAATCTGTTTATTAGCAAAGAGCCAAAGAAAGAACAGGATTCAACATCCAGCCTCTTATCTGCCCTGCTCCAAAGCTCGACCGGGCTGTAAGCAGGTGTGTGTTGTCGGCTCACACACACACCTGCTTTGTTTAAATGTTGCCTCGAGTCTTCAGACGATAACAGTCCAGCGGATATGAAAACAGAGAGTAAAAATATCCTGGAGGACATTCCTGGGATGTATTGGTTACAACCAGGTCGTGTGATAATCAAACACAAACATCATTCACTGTGATGATGAGTGCTGACACGTGAGGAAGAGGAGAGCGTCACACTCACAGACGAGCGTATTAAACAAAGGATTGATGAAGAGAGACAGTGTTAATGTTCAACAGCAGAGCTCATTCTGGCTCCAGTTGAAAAACAAATTTAGTTATTTATTAGCTGTCAGAATAGTCGTGACAACCACACTCCTAAACTTAAAGTGCAAATTAGATATTAGAGAACTTCTGAGATGTTGCTTTGTTGTTGAAGTTGAAAAATAATTATTGCAAGCTTTAACAACTAAACTTTAATAACATGCCAAAGAAAAATTCGGACATCCGAAGCGATAATTCTTTTTGTGCAATTAGGAATAAAAATAAAGTACTTTGTAAAATAACTAGAACCAGATAATGG